TATAACAAGGAAGAATATATTTTATATCAATTAAGTCTTCTGTCATGCTATTTTTTATAATAATTTTATTAAACATGACAATTTAAAAGATAAAAAGTAATACAAACTAAAAATCAAAAGAAAAAATAAGAAAAAAATAAGTTACAAGCAGAACACAAGGAAGAGAGAACAGGTTCAGAGTTCAGAGCAGACAGAGCATTTTCAGTTTCGATTCTCAGCACAGACTCAGATATGTTTAAGCTCTCATTGGCTGACTTAGTTGCTATGCCTATTCATTGGCTGACCTTGTTACCATGTTTCTCCCAGTCATGAATGTTCTAACACTCTTCACTTATTTTTTTCTTATTTTTTCTTTTGATTTTTAGTTTGTATTACTTTTTATCTTTTAAATTGTCATGTTTAATAAAATTATTATAAAAAATAGCATGACAGAAGACTTAATTGATATAAAATATATTCTTCCTTGTTATAACATTTTATATAGAAATGAAATAAAATGAAGCACTCTGAAACTCCCAAAAATTAAATTTCAACCATAATTTGACTGAATCAGAGTCATCTTCATCCTGGGAACTGAACCCACCCTTTCCACTCTGGAAATTGAAAAAGCAGTTTATAATCACTTCAGGATCCAAATTATAGTGAAATATGAAATACAGTCCTACTAAAATACCTGAAGATTTTAAATGTGCTATTTGAGATGTATCTCACTTCAAGGTTAAGATAAATGGTCTGTCTATGCTGGAATGATCATCATTTCTGACCGTAACTCATTTTTTTATTCTTACACACAGTTACTGAATCTGATTGCTATGTGACCTTGTGGCTTCCTACTTCCTCAGTGGAAAAATTTCGAACCAAAACAGTGACAAATTGCAAAGATCCAATATGGAATGAATCATTCTATTTCAGGATCCAGAGTCAAGTCAAGGTAAGATGAAAGATGTCAATATTTCTGCCCTTCTAAATGAGCCAGGATAATAGTATTTGTTTATTGTTGTACTATTTTATCATCATTATTTCTCATCCAATTCTTTCTCTCAGTCTGATTTATTGAGCTCCTGGTGCCACAGTAGAGTTAGGCAAAAACTAGTCTATACACACAGGGAGTTATTAAAGATTGGATCTTCTAGTCAACTAGATATTACCAGCAACTTCCAGCAGTCTCCTAATACACCGAATGACATAGTAAGACTGCCAGGCTCTCCATGGATCGTTGTTGGGGCTACGAGGCGGCGAAGAGAGCAAAAGCAGAAGTGGGGATGCAGAGCTGGTTTGCTAGTTCGGTTACAGAAGCAGCCTCACAGACCAGCATTACCAAGCATTTTTCTAACCAACTCTANTTTCAATGGCAGCCGAAGCCGCAGCAAACAGCAGCAAAGCAGAGGCTGACACTTACTACCACAATTGAGCTCAACATTTCTGTTGCTAAGCAAGCCAGTTAAGTGAATTTAGTCCCATTTTACAATCTTACGGCACACCTTATACTATGTCACGGCACACTAGTGTGCCGCGGCACAGTGGTTGAAAAACACTGTTCTAGCCAATTCAGTAGATTTGACGAACCGGTTCTACCAAACCGGTGCGAACCAGTAGGAACCCACCTCTGGTATAAGCACTGAGGTGAGAATATGGGCAGGGATATGGAACAAGAGATGGAAATGAGAATTCAAAGGAATTAACTTGCTATTTAGGTCTCAAACCATTGTTACCAGGTTTTGCATTTATCTTCACCCCTCATCAGTCTTCCATTTATGTCATATTTTTCTGGTGGCCTGGCAAAACTAAATTCTGGACCTGAGGCACAAATACTCTAGGGACATTGCTCGCGGGAAATAAGACAGTAGCAGCTAAGTTTAATTTGACTGCTATTAAACACTACAGCATGGATGTTAAGCAGAAATAAAACCAGACACACTCATAATCTTGCTATCTGAAGACACAGCATGCTGGGGGAAATTAAACTGAAATTACCAGATGCCAGTCTACAGAATACAAATATTACTCGGTCTCAGAAGGTTAAATATATGAGTGCAAAATTATTAATGGACTGGCTACGTTTTATATTTATACAAGGAAAACCTTTAAAAGAAATGCTCACTTACGAAAACAACACAGTAGCATTGAGATGCTGCAATTTTTAGGTTATTTTTTTATTTTCTTTTTAGTTTTCCCTAAAAGCTGTTCAGTAAGTTAGAAAAATGAAAAATAGTGGTAGCTAGACTATCCACATAAAAGGAAAATATTCCTGGAGGTGTTTTAAGTGAGCGCATTGATCATGCTGAATTAAAACAAACACACTGAACAGCAGGGCTATTTAACAGCTGCTCAAAGTTGGCTTTATTGAGATAAACAATGCCTTGTGCTACCAGAATTTCAAGGATCTTCCTCAAATTATCAGAATAGGCCTTCTGACAAACTGAAAGAACAGCCTAAAATACGAGGGGCCGAGGGGTCAATTCACTCCTGTCATCCAAGTCACAGAACTGCTTAATGAGAATACTTAAAAGACTCTGATTAATGTGATAGAGATAATCAATAATGTTAATGTGAATTGGATCAACATTAATGATATCACTAAATTCGTTCATACTGTTATTGTGAATTGGTTTACAGTGAAAAAAAATGGATAAGAATTAAAACACTAAAGAGGAGACGTATAAATAATATAATGAGGATTACATAAACTTGATAAATGCAAGAGATTATTAAGAATGTTAGCGTGAATTGGATCA